CTCTCTCTCTCTCTCTCTCTCTCTCTCTCTCTCTCTCTCTCTCTCTGCTGCAATGTTCGCTTTAGTTGCTATTGAATCACCAGCAAGGATGGCTTAGGTCCTTCGTCTCCTGGATGACTCTGCCTTTTGTAAAATTATAGAATTTTATTATCTAAGTACCCATTAAAGGCCTTGGAACTGAGGGGGGAATTTTTAAATATGCCTGCATTAAGGAATGGAGGGAAAAATGAATATACACATACCTTATTATCCAAGAGAATTCCAAAACAGAAGATGAAAAATCCCTTTAACAACCAAAAAAAGAGTAAATCATATGTATTATATTATGTTTTCTTTTCCAGACAATAAATAATCTATATATTATATGACACAATTCTATCATCCTGCAATGACACCTTATATTCTAATGTTGAATTTTTTCCTCCTTGAAGAGGTGAGGCCACATTCTGTAACGCAAGCTAGCCTCCTACTCGCTATTTAGGCCAGGCTGGCCTCAAAGTTGTGATGCTTCTGCTTCTACCCCTTGAGTGCTGGGGTGACAGCCATGTACTATATGGTTAACTTGAATTTGTTTTCTTGTCTGCCCCCCTGCTGGAGTATGAGCTTCTAGAAAGCAAGACTAGTGTGAGTTCTACAGTGCCTGGGCATATCACATAGTGCTCACAGATGGTTTTTCATGAATGTGTTAGTGAGCAAATGACCGAATTAATGAAGTTGTAAATTCACGTTGAACTCTATCCCTGACTATGGCGTTACTCAAAGCCCCAGCTACCTCCTAATGACTGAGGGATCTTAGTCTTTCTTTAGACCAATCATTTAATAAGTGTTTATCATGTCCGTGTGATGGCAGCAGGTGAGCTTCACCATCCTTATAGCCAGGAGGGGAAGGTGGTGTCTGTGACTAACCTTCTCTTCAAGTATGGCTCTTAGAAAATCTTGGCAAAGGCTTTCTTCCTCCCAGTCAGAAAACCTTTCCTTTGTGCTTGTCAAATAGCACACTGCTCACAAGCCTGCCCATCCTAGAGCTCTCAAGACTTGTCTCCATTGTATGCATGGTCTCTGTGACTGAGTCTATATTACCACCTGTGTATTAACAGCTGTGTTGACTGGTGCACTGCCTCTAGGACGCTCTCTAAATATTTACTGAATATGGGCACTGGTCAGGTGCTGAATTCTCACTCTTAATCCTCCAAACTGTTCTGTATTATTGTGGTCCCTGCTCATCAGCTCAGAGAACTAATGATGGAGAGATTAAGCACACAGTTGGTATTTGAGAAAAAACACACTTGACTACAGAACCCAAAAGTTCCTCCCATGTCCCTGAGTCATTGCCCCAGGCAGTCTGGCCTTAGCTGCAATAAACCATGGTTGAAGACTTTATCCCAGATACATCAAAACCTGGGGATTATTTTTTTCCATTTATTCAGAACACTCCCTGACTGTGGAATATAAAAGGATCAGGAAGCTTTTGGGGTAAAGACTATATTGTAAGTCTTTAGGGCTTTGAACCATATACGTAACATCTGTTTCAGTTCCGCTGCTGGTGGTCAGAAAAGAGCCATAGGCCCTAGGCACACTAATGGACACTGTTGTGTTCCAAGAAAATGTTATTTACAAAATCTGGCTGTTGGGTTGCTGGCCTCTGTTTATTTATTTCCAGGGACTTGCTTTGTATAAGTCAAGGTCAACAAGTGTTTTTGAGTTATTTCTCTTTCTCTGCTTTGTCAGAGATTTATTTATACCAGAGAATGAGGATTGAATCAACCACAAAAGAGATAAATGTTAGTTATGTGAACTCTAATAGATTTAAGCTCTGTGGTAGGTTACTGGAAAAGTCCAGAATTCTGCTTTGGTTATGACATGAACTGCTCGGGAAAGTGGATGGGTTTGTCTTCTCGATGTTTCGATGCACTTTTTGTTATAGACTTATTGGAGCCAAAGTGATGAGATCATCTTTACCCACCAACCCTAGTTCTCTATACATATTCCAATGACAGCGTTGGGTTGGATCCTCCAGCTCCTGTACTGCCTGAGAAGCCTCTCAAATCCTGCCCTCTTAGAGAATCTCCAAAAAGAAAAGGTGCCCAAAAGCCCAGTTCCCCGTTCTTGGTGGCTGTGGTGCCTCCCCTCCTAAAGCTGCCAACGGCCCAAGTCCCTGCCTAAAGTGTTCAGGTTTTGACCATGGGGCACAAACCCAGCTTGTGGTGGACACATCATCACCCCTCGCCTATAGGATATATAACGCCCCTGCTTTAAGTTAAGGAGTATGACTTCTCTGGCTTCATTCTCTGGAATCGGAGAACTCACCTGGGAGTTGCTTTGCTCAAATAAACCTGTTCTTTTCCTTTCTCGAATCAGCTTGATCTGGCTTACTGCATCAGCAGAGAAACCTATTGCCTGGCTACATAAAACCTATTAGACAGGAGGACATGCCATATCACTCTTACTGTTCTTACCTGGAAAGCATTGAGTAAAGCAAAAAGAACGTGCCAAGCCAGATTCTGGCTGTCCACCATTGTTCCTATGCCGAAGCCCCAGGTGAGCCCCAGCAGTGGGGTCAGAATGAGGAGGCTCTTTCCCATACGGATGGCAGTGGCCTTGTCATCCCGACTCAGCCTGTCGCCAACTGCTGGCCTCCAGAGCTTCCTAAGGACCAGCAGCACCACAGCCAAGTTCACAGCCACAATAGTCAATGCAGGAACAACAAATGCCAAGAGAGGTTTGCTCTCATCAGACCAGTTAAGCCAACACACGTTGTTCCTTTTGTAGCTGTTGTTAGGTTGGGTGACTGCAATGGTGATGACGGATATAAGGAGAGGGCAGCCGTAGCCCAGGCAGAACCCAGTAGCCATCATGGTAGGCACAGCCATGTGATGGAACACGAGGACGATTCGATAAGCCAGGAGGATGCCAAGCACAAGCATCCAGAAGAACAAAGCAAGGTAGAAGAAGTGGGTGAAGAACACTGCAGCTACACAGACTCCGGAAGGGCTGACAGTGGTGTCCACAGTGGCAGCAATGATAAACCACACATCAGCAATTAAGAGAGACAGGGCGATGTTCACCAGGCAAACATGGCGTGTGTATGAGGTTTGGTTTTTCTTGGTTTGCTTCCAAAACAGAAACTCAATGATCAGGCATAAGATTAGACTTGCAATGGAGATGCCCAGTCCTATGTATGTAATCCATTTCACCACAGGGACAATTGAAGAGGGAACAAAGGGGGACATGAGCATGGAGAAAGAGGTCAGGTGAGTACACCGGCACAGTACTGTGTCTGGAGTTTCATTAACTAGTTGGCAGCCTGCATTGCTCCATTGCAGGTGATTGAAATCCCAGAACACACAATGAGGCTGGCTCAAGTTTCCCTTTATCTTGGAAAAGTTCAGGAAAATTTCATCGATGGAATGGTTTTGGATAAGTGTGGATATCACAGGCCCATTGATGCGTGCCTTTCCTCTGTGGGTGATGGGTAGAATGTTCCCAAAGGTCAGTGAGGCCATGCTGATAACAGTCTTTGGATGGGATTTCTGGAATTGATCTGGTTCAATAAGCACATGGCCTCGGATGGGCTGAGAGGCATTTTCTTGTGTCATTTCAATCTGATAGTTGTAACCCTGTGTGCTTTGGATTTGGGTCACTGGAATCCCTCTCCAGTCAATGAATTTTCGAGAAAAATTAAGAGGCAGAACAGTGGAAGGTATTAGAGTGCTGATATTTTCCAAAGTCTCTAGCAGCTGAGAGCTGGTATTATTTTCTTCTTGTAATAAAATTGTCCAGTTAGTTATGGAGGATGAGTTCAGAATATGATCAGCTATGTTGATGACATTCTGAAACACAAGAATCAGAGTCATTTAGGTCTTCTGAGACTGGAAAGCTGACAGTGGAAGGTCGCTCTTATCAAGGGACAATGGCCATAGAATTGGCGAGTTGAAGATCTCAGTAAAACTCAGGAATTATATCAGTTCTGTTACTTAATAAAGTAAAAAGATGTTTTATGTAAAGAAACTTGGGTCAAGATAGCAAGATACCCCAATGAGTAAAGTGCCTGTTGTCAATCCTGGTGGCATGAGTTCAATTCCCAGACCCACATGACTGAAGGAGAGCACCAACTTCCACAGGTTGTCCTATGGTCTCTATACACATACTATGGTGTATGCGCGCGCACACACACACACACACACACACACACACACACACACACCAATTTTTTTTTTAAAGTTGGATCCAGAGTGGTCACCCCAAGTAATCTGCCATTAGAGTAAGGCTTGTCTTCAGCATGGAGGAATAAGCATCCTACAACACACAGGTGTGCATTCCTTTATCCCTGGGATGAGGGGAGATGACCACGCTAGTGAACGCGCTACAGCGTGAAGACTGAGCATGACATTCCACAGCTTCCCCATTTCTCTAGCTAACATTAGAATTTGTTTTTATTACATTATGTTTTATTTTATTATAACCTCTTAAAAGCCTGTTTTTTTTCTAATGAGAGACCAAACAGGGATGGATCCGGATGGGAGAAGAGGTGGGAAGAACTGGTGGAAGAAGAGGAGGTAGGCAGGGCTGTAATTAAGATACAGGGTATGAAAAACATCTGTTTTCAATTTTCAAAACAACGGGGGGAGGCTTGTAGGTTCATGTCATGGATGCTCAAATTTTAATTTTTGGGTTTTTGTTGTCGTTTACTGCATACAAATACCCATCAGCGAGCGATTCTTAAAAAAACAGTGTAGTTTGAATTGTTGGCTGGGGAGACACTCAGACCCCAAGAGCACTTACTGCTCTACAGTCTTCCTGCTTCAGCCTCTCAAAGGCCAGGGTCACCAGCCTGGGCCACAAGGCCTTGCACTGCCACTCTTTTTAACTTTTCTATCTTTTTTGTTGAAAATCATTTTTTTCATAAAATGTATTCTGATTAGTTTCCCCTCCCAGGTCCCTCCATGTCCACTCCCACCCAAATTCATACCCTTCCTTTCTCTCTATCATGAGAAAACAAACAGGCATCTAAATAATGAGAAGAAACTAAAGTAAGGTGAAATAAACACAAACAAACCAGAATAGGACAAAATGAACAAACAGAAAAAAAAAAAGACCTGAAGAAAAAAACACAAGAAACACAGAAAAACGCAGGTGCACACACAGAAATCCCATAAACACACAAAACAGGGAAATGCAATACATACTCAAAGGACCTGTAAGGACATGGGGCTTGCCCTTAAGTGCGGCTTGTATCCCCAATGAGACTCTATTGACAAAACAAATTAGTTTCACTGCTGTTCTTATGGTGACCAAATATTATCATGTCAATGTAAGTCAGATGTTAAATAGGTAAACTAAACCAGCCAAGAGAAAGAAGTTCTTAATTTGTACATTGCTGAGGTCAGAATTTGCAAGCACAGGGGAAAATTATAGATTGCAAACATCAAGGACTGGGGGTGTGGGGGGAACGAGCATCGGGTCCCAGGTTCAATTCTCACTATGGGATCTAGGGAGAGAAGAAATGTCCATGCTCACTAGTGCAAAAGCTTACCCAGTCCTCTGAACCTGATGCTTCAAAGCAGCCTGTTCATGGGTAGATCGGAATCTAGTATGTTGACCCTAAGAGTTCATTGTATACTGTCGAAATGCCAAAGAAGCTCGCACAGGGACTGTTACACGGCTTCTCTGTGTTTCTCCAGTCTCCCCATCACCCAGGCTCTTACCACATCTGCTACTAGATGTAGCATTTGAAGTGAGACCTTCAACCTGGGTGTAGTGGTACAGGCCTGTAATCCCAGCACTCAGAAGGTTAAGCCAGAATGGTTTCTGGGAATTCAGGGCTAGCCTGACCTATGTATTGCATGCCAGGCCAGCCAGAGCTACAATATGAGATTCCGTCTCAAAACCTGCTAGACTATAAATAAATCAAGTGATCCCTTCTAACATAGAAAGGTCATACCTCCAGTGTCAAATTAGACACCGTCAAAGCATTTGCCAGTGACAGGGATGCAATGTTGCTCAGAAGTGACACCACTGAAGCCAGTGTCCCAACCGTGGTGGACGAGCTTTGCTGAATGATGGTCGAAAGATTGTGAACCAAAGATGACACATCATCCTCTGTGATGTTGCCTGCAATCATACTGAGATTCTTAAAAAAAAAAAAAAAAGGATTAAGGTCCAGGGGGGAAATCTAGAAATGCTTGCACATCATCAGACTTAAATCAGATGTCTTGGCTACAAAAGCAAACAGTGCAGTGTGTCGGCAGGTAACTAACTATACAGTAGTGGCAACAACAATAGCTGTGGTTCAGTGATTCTTGAATTCTAGGCCCTGTGCTAAATACTTAATAATGCTTACTAGGAATTTGTTAATTGAGCGTCTTAAACACTCTTTGAAGGAAGCAGTGTTATGATTGATATTTTAGTGCTAAGGGAACTGGATCACGAAAGAATTCTCTGAAAGACATTTTCAAATACATTCCAATCTCAGTTATAGGAAAATGGAGAAGGCCTGCGATTTGGTGACTTCACAAGGAGTAATCAGCCAAAAGTGGTACTGCCAGTACTGAGCTCTGCCAGTACTAATCCTGGACTTCCTGTACAGAGTGAGAAGGTAGATGGGCACATGTGCCAATATGACTGCTGGGCCCCATCTCCTTCTGCTGTGCTAGGATAACAGACAGTAGTGGGCAAGAGCATTGGCTTCCTTCATCGAGGGGGAGGGGTTTATTCCATCAACAACCCCAGATCCCACCCAACCTCCTTGCTCTCTCAACGGCCTGTACTGCTCTCTGCTGGCCCCTACATCCGGGATCAACAAGTTCCAACGATTGCCATTCAGAACTGGGTCAAGGAAGGAGAGAGAAAGACCAGAATCCAGTGGCCACCTGCTCCTATTTATTTATTTATTTATTTATTTATTTATTTATTTTGTTTTTGAGATAAATGAGGACACAGAGGGCAGAAAGGGACTGGTAACTGTCCCATGATGCTTTGACAGGTAGCCCTCTGATACTCTCTATCAGAAGAGGAAGGCCTCTGGTTGGGATGGAAGCTCTACTCAATTAGAGGTCTGCTACAAGAGCAATGTCAGAGCCAGTCTGGAGGACTTTTCCCCCTGTGGTTTCAATTTTCCTGTTCCTGGCCATTTACCTTTCCTTTTCCTTTCTTTTTCTTTCTTTTTTTAATATAAAGCTATAATAGAAGTCACAGCACTGGGATAGCAACCATGTGACCCTGTTTCCAGATCACTATTATTGTTACCAGATGGCTGGCTGGCTGCTTGGTCTTTTGTTTCCTGAACATTTATATTTATATATTTATTTATATACAAGGTCTATTGCATGGGTCACGCTTCCATCTAGCCTACTCACTATTCCAATAGAAGATCTTTGTATGTTCTCACTTATATTAAGTATATTGCCCTACGGATACTTCCCCTTAATCTTCTTCAATTCCAAGGCCTCTTGAATTTCCAAGTCTAGCTAGATGCTGTTTTAGCATCTATCATATCTGTAAGCATTGGGCAACTTCACCCTGCTAAGACAGAATCATCAACTCAGGCACTTTCTGACTCTGCCTGGCATGCTCACAAGCCCTGGTTAACCAAGGCCCAAAAGAGCCCTCATATTTTTGCACTGTCTAAAGATACAGTCACATTTGACCCGCTACCAAGCCACACTCTCTGGGTGATGCCCACTGTGAAATTCAAGCTGCCAAGTTCCTAAAAATGTGTTACCTTATTCAGTTCTGCCAGCTGAGAGAGCACACAGGACTCCTTGGTGATCTGCCATCCAGAGTGCTGGCACCTGACGGTGATGTTTCCAGTGAAGCCACTGCTACAGGGTAGTGTATATTCATCATTCTCAGACCCGAATCCAAAGGAGATGCTGTTACACTGGGCTGGAGAATAACAGATACAGGGGAAAAAAACACTTCACAACAGTCTAGCACTCTACATCAACAACAACAACAAAACTGTAGTGCTTCCGAGATTTGGGAGTTATATGTACAGATTTAAAAGCCAGGCAAAATTTGGAAGTACAGAGGCATTGCTGATGTCCATCCTAATTCCCCTTTTGTCATGCCTCTTGCTCAAGGATGTTCCTCCTTCCAGGTATCTGAGCAATGCCAGAAACATTGTCCTCAATGGGCTATCAACTGGTTAGTATTAGGTGAAAACAAGGCAAGATGCAATCCCTTAAGAAAATCCTAGAAAGCAGGGGAATGGCTCCATGAGTTGAGTGCCTGCCCTGCAAGCATGCATCAGAGTTCGGAGCCTCAGAGCTCACATGAAAGTCACAGCAGCCACATGTGATCATCCTACCAACATTCAAGAGACACTAGCAGGGAATTCCCAGATAGTCTGACTAGCCAAACTAGCAGGAAACCATGAGCTCCACATTCAATGAGATGGCCTGCCGGGATATATAAGGTAAAAAGCAACTGAGAAAGACACCCAGCATCAACCTTGGGCCTTCACATGCACACACATGCACCCATGCATTCCCGTGTCCATACACATGCAAACATGCAAATATACATACACATGCCATCCACACAAATATATGTATGGGAGGGAGAAAATACTTGATAATCTTGAAGACGCTTTAGAACAAAGAACGATAATGTGCCTGGAAGATGGGTGATTGTCCCTGGGACGTGATCCTTCCTGCCATGTACTTGTTTCAAAGCTGCCTTTACTGCTGTCACCAGTGACCCTTAATAATATATTCTTCTATGACTGGAACTAGGAGATGGCATTATTGGAAGCTAGGTCCTCAAGGCCTGGAATTTTAATTTCTTCCTCGTTCTGTTCTGTGTCTGGACATATCAGATAGTAAGTATTTGCTGAGGGATTGTTGTTGGCAGACACTGACAGAACGACTGGGGATGCCTAAGGCTCAGTGTAAAAAGTAAAGTGAATACACACCATTTATTTGCTAACTGCAGACCTCCTGGTCTGCATCTGATGTTTCTTGTAGACCGGCCCTTTCATTACTCACCCCTCTGCCTACTCTCTACAACCATCAGGTATCACATGCCATTTCTTAGCTTCTGGGAGATCAACAGATTCTTTAGCCTCCATGCATGAGTGAGGTCATACAGGATTGGTCTTTCTGTGTCAGGCTTATTTCACTTAACACAGTGTCCTCTAGACTCACCCACTGTGCCACAGTAACAAGAATCATCCTTTTCAGGGGCTGATGAGTACTGCATGTCAAAATAGCTGGAAAGCATTTGTTAACTGGTTGAATTGCAAGGAAATCATAAATATTTGAGGTGATAGATGGGCTAATAACATCACTGTATAATGTCAGCAGCTCTCAAAATAGCACATTAGCATCCCATAAACGTGAATGATTATTGTGTGTCTAGTTACAATTTTTAAATATTAGGCATACTGGTGCACACCCATAATCCCAGGACTCAGAAAGCTGGGGGTGGGGACTTGGGAATTGGAAGCCAGTCTGGGCTACAGAGAGAGACTCTCTCTCAAGAAATAGAAAAGAAAGGAAAGGGAAGGAAAAGAGAAAAATGTGTGATGCTTTGTTTTAATCACCAGCATCAACTTAACACAATGTAGAATTACCTGGGAAGGACTCTCAATGCAAGCTTGTCTAGATTGGGATGGCGTGTGGGTAGGTCTGCGATGGATTTTCTTAGCTGGGTTAGCTGAGGTAGGAGGGCCCACTCTAAATGTGAGAGTCACCATTTCACAGGCTGGATCTTGGACTTTGATGTAACTGCCTGTGACTCGCTGTTTCAGGTCCTGCTACCTCGACTTACCCACAAAAAAAAATGTACTAAAACCTGGGAATTTGGGGCAAATAAACCCTGTCTTCCCCCAAGTTGTTTTTATCAAGCTATTTTACCTCACCAACAGGAAATGAACTAAGCCAGTACTTTTTAAAATATAGAGAGAGTTGGGTGTGTACATTTTCCCCTTGGGTCTTTGGATGATGATTTAAAACTACTCTCAGCTCCAAGGCTTTTCCAATGTGTGTACCAGCAAAGCATAAGCTTGTAGTGGGGTCAGTGTTCCAGGTTGTTTATCTGAGATGCTCAGATATCCAATTAGTAATTATCAGAGTCAGCTGGCATTGAGTTGCATGGGGGTGGCCAAGGCTGCCAGTGTCTACTGAAAGTGGGTTTTAGAACAGTCCTCTTGGAAATAGGCATCTGCAATGTGAGGACACCATTCATGACTAATGGAAGACTGAATCAAAGATGGAAGCCTAGCATTACCTTTCCCGAACACTCGAAGAGAGCCTTCTTTAACTGAGAACCGCCTTTTCAGGAGCACCAGTGCCTTTTCAGTCACCTGTTCAATGTGAAACAGGAGCTCAGCTGTGTCACTGGAGCCGATCACTTCATAGCCAACAATGATGCTTCCTTGTCTACAGTGAGGAGATGGGAAGAAAGCGGAGATTCACTGTCTCTGCATTTAGTCTCTAAATCTGTAAATGCATGGCATGGAGTCCACAGGAATGCAGCAAGCAGATTTGCTATGCGCCTTCACGGAGCTGAGAAATAAACAATGGCTTCCACACACACACTTGTATGCATACACAAATATATGCACACATACATTTCTATCCATGCATGAATATGTACATTTCATTTGCATGCTCATGCATCTCCATCTGCGTCCTGGCACAAGTGTGCATACATATGCCCAAAGCATTTCTAAATGGTAAATGTTATGAGAGACAGGTAGACAGGGACAAGCATAGAAGGTAGAAGTAAATGCTCACACTATGTACAGGCTGGGTGGAGAAGGTTTCTCTGCGGAAAACATCCCTGGCTTTTGAAACAGGCCTTTAAGATGATGTCTTAGGGTGACTATTGCTATGATGGAACACCGTGACCAAAAGCAACTTGGGGAGGAAAGAGTTTCCTTTGCTTACTCTTCCAGATGACAGTCATCACTGAGGGAAATCAGAGCAGGAATCTGGAGACAGGAACTGAAACAGAAGCCATTGAAGAATGGCGCTTTCTAGCTTGTTCCCCATGGCTTGCTCAGACTCCTTCCTTATAACACCTAGGAACCCCACCCCAGGGATGGCACCACCCACAATGGACTGGATTCTGTATCAGTCAGCAATTAAGAAAACACACCTTAGGCTATGTACAGGCAAATAGTATGGAGACATTTTCTCAATTAAAAGTCCCTCTTCTTAGGAGAGGCTACCTTAAATGCCCTCCCCTGATAATGAGATTGATGACTGACTTATATGCCACCCGATAGCCCTCATACAACAGCTGGTGGAAGTAGAAGCAGACACCCACAACTAATCACTGAACTGAACTGAAATCCAGATGCAGAGAAGGAGGAGTGAAGAGCAAAGGAGTCCAGACCAGGCTGGTGAAACCCACAGAAACAGCTGACCTGAACATCAGGGAACTCTTGCTCCCCAGAGTGATAGCCGGAATACCAGCATGGGACTGATCCAGACCCCAGGAACATGGGTTTCAGTGAGGAAACCTTGGAAATCTACAGGACCTGCTGTAGTAGTTCAATACTTATCCCTAGCATAGGTGTGGACTTTGGGAGCCCATTCCACATAGAGGAATACTCTTTGAGCCAAGACACACAAGGGTGGGCCTAGACCCTATCCCAAAGCATGCAATGGACTCTGATGACACCCTATGGAAGGCCTCACCATCCAGGGGGAGCAGAAAGGATATGTGATAGGTTTTAGTTGTGTGTGGGGGGAGATAGGGGAAGACGGGAGGGACAAGGGAACTGGGATTGTCATGTAAAACAATCTTGTTTCTAATTCAAATAAAAAAATTAACAAAAAATAAACCACAAAAATTAAAAGTCCCTCTTCCTAAATTTGTCTCTAGCTGGTGTCAATTTGGCAGAGAACTAGCCAGCCTAGATGAAAGAAGAAGACAAGTGATGAGAATCATACTGGATACCATGGGGTATCTGTAAAAGTTCTGGGATGGGCAGAGTTTGATAAACTTCAAGACTAGAGTGACTAGTCCAGTAAGTGAGAGAGAAAGGTAGGAAATACAGGAAAACTAGCTGAAGGAAGGCACTAACGGAGGATGAGCTGAGAAAGCGATGGTTTGGCTTGAACTAGTTGGGTAGCCATTTATGTGGACACATTTAGATTGCAGGAAAGCAGATGTGGGGTGCACAAGAAAGAAAGCAGTTAAGAATAACTTCACAGGACAGAGAGAGTCAAGGACACCACATGAACACCCACTGAACCAACCGTCCAGGGCTCATAGGGGCTCACAAAGACTGAGCCACCAACCAGGGAGCCTACATGGGACTGACGTAGGCCCTCGGCATGTATGGTACAGTTGTGTAGCTTGTTCTTCTTGGGGGACTCCTCACAGTGGGAGCAGGGACTGTCTGGACTCAATTGTCTGCTTTGGGACCCTTTCCTCCTACCAGGTTGCTTCATCCAGACTTAATAGGAGAGGAGGTGCCCAGTCTCACTGCAACTTGATAGGCCATGGCAGATTGCTATCCATGCGAGGCCTGCCCATGAATAGGGAGTAGGAGTGAATGGGGAGGATGAGGGGTAATGGAGGGGTGGGGCTGGGAAGAGAGGAAGGAGGGAAAACTGTGGCCAGGATGTTAAAACAAAAATAAGTAAAGACAAAAAGGAGAGTAATTTTACGGAATGGGACCAAAGTTATACGGTGGAATACTACTAGGCAATAAGGAGGCAGGCCTCGCAGCTACTGAGTAAAACAGGAACAGACTGCAAGGACTTCATACTGAATGACAGAAGCCAGGTTTTTAAAAGAAAAAAAAAAAAAACTCACCTTCCATTTACATCACATTCTAGAGCAAGTTAAACTAATCCAGGGAAGCAGAAATCCAACCCAGTGGCTGCTTTTGATGGAGAGTGTCAGTAGCCATGGAGATTGGCTAGGAAGGAACTGGAGGTCTGTCCCGGTGGGACAGGCTGTGTGCAGTAGGTGAGACCCAGTGAACTGTAGTGACGATCTGTGTACAGCACGATGTGTTCATTGCACTTCAGAAAGGAACTGAGAGCAGAGTACGGCTCAGGGTTTGAGTCTAGCAACTGGAAGGACAGGTGAGAAGACGGTGGAGTAGGTGGCTGGACAGGAGGGGGTGGCCTGAGGGAGCAGGGGTAGACATGTGTTTGACATGCCCACTGGAAGAACAATCAGAAACATCAAGTTGGTGACTGATATTCAGAGTTCAGAGGAGAGACAGGTGACAAAGCTGGAAACTGCAAGTACACAGATGTTGTCTGAAACTCCAAAGGCACACTAGAGCACACATATGGTTAGTCCATGAGATCAACACTGTGTTACCTTCATTCTTTTGTTTAGTGCTTTGAGACGAGGTCTCACTCCATAGAACAGGCCTGGAATTCACTATGGAACCCAGGCTGACTTGGAACTCACAGCAATCCTCCTGCTGTAGTTTCCTAAGTGCTGAGATTACAGGTGTGAGCCACCATGCCCTGCTACTTCTGTTTCTAGGTTCTATTTTCTAACTTTAAGAAGATATTTATTTTTAAAATGCTTTTATAGTTAAGTTTAAAAATACAAATTTTAAAATATGTATTTATTTTTTATTATGTGTATGTGGAGGAGCGGGTTATGTACACATGAATGCGGGTTCCAGGGAAGGTAGAAGACGATCTGAGATAGCACTGGAGGCTGAGTGGTTGTGTACCACCTGCCATAGGCTCTGGGAAACAAACTCAAGTCCTCTAGAAGACCACTATGTATTCTCTACTGCTGAGTCATCTCTTCAGCCCCCCAGCTACCCAAACTTTGAAGAGAAAAGGATGAAGACACAAAGAGAAACCAGGTTAGAAAACTGCAAATTGACAAGAACTTCTTAAGCCTCAAAATACAAACTCTTGATGCTTTTGCCTTCCTATGGCCCACTCTGTACTGCTTGCCAAGTGTTTTCCTACGCATTGTTTGTTTTGTTTTATCTTGAAATAGGGTCTCCCTGTGTAAGCCAGGCTAACCTTGGATTCACTCTGTACTCTGCTCAGTTATGAAATAAAGGCAATCCTCCTGCCTCCACCTCGAGAGCACTAGATTACAACCAAGTACCTCCAGGCCTGGCTGGTTTTCATCTAGGAGTTCACTGACAGCAAAGGCAAAAAGAAAGAAAGAAAGGAAAGAAGGAAGGAAGAGAGAGAGAGAGAAAGAGAGAGAGAGAGAGAGAGAGAGAGAGAGAGAGAGAGAAAGAAGATGATCCATTATACAGATTCAATATAAGAAAAGGGAAGTTGTGTTCTTCTCTGTGTTGGATTTTAAAGAAAATTATTCCTGTGGGACTTTCTAAATGACTTTATGGAATAAGAATATATTTATAGCAAGTGTTGTTGAAAATTTCCCATGACTGGTTTGAAGTTAACCATGGAAAAAATAATGAGTCAAGTTATTTGACCTCTAAGCTACTTCCTCCAGCAAGTGACTACAAGTAGCTGGCAATCGACGCACACAGGCTCAACTCCAAATAACTTAGAATTGAATCATAAACAAATGGCTAATTTACTAAATATCTCTTTATTTGCTGTAGATAACGACTTCTGCACTTTGAATCACAGCCTATACTTGATACCTGCACAGGAAGGACATTTTATCCAAGACTTCCATCATGACTCCAAATTATACAGCATCGTGTCGTCTGTGGTAGGCAAATGCTCATCTCTCTGCAGGCACATCCCTCAAGCCACCCCTCATAGTTCTCGAACCCATATACCATGACTCCCCCCTTCCTCTCAAGTTCCTATCTTATGCCCATATGCTTACAATTCTTTTTTAAAAAGTGTGCTTGTTCTTCTATGCACGAGTGTATATGTGTCCTCACATGAACAAGCATGTGTGTACTTGCAAGTAGGGACCAGACGACAACACACGTTGTCATTAGGAATGCTATCTACTTCTTTTGAGACAGGACCTCTCACTGGACTGGATCTCATTAATTAAGTGAGTCTAGCTGGCCAGTGAACCCCAGAGATCCCTGTCTCTACATCCCCAGCACTGGGATTACATGTGTGCACTGACATACCAGGCATCGTTATGTGGGTTTGGGTCAGATTTCAGACTTCAGGCTTGCAAGGTATACACTTACTGACTAAGCTCTCTCCCTAGCATTGACTTTACAATTCTGTCAAGACCAGCAGAAATATCATTGGACAGTCTCATGACCAGTGCGGAATTCTAGAGCAGTCCTCTGAGGCCAGATGAGACTTACCGAAACTGGATGACCTGAACTGACTCAAAACCATGGATTCCTCTGTATGCTTCTTTAAGCTTAGAAAGAAAACAAAAGACAATGTTTCAGTGTTTGCCCTCATACATCAAAGAAACAAAATTGAAGCAAAATACAGATGGAAACAATGGATAAGCCATTAGCAGATGAGCCATTGGAAGAAGTTATATGTAGTCACAAATACAGTTAAAATAACAATTGAGAACACACAATTTATCTTTGAGGATGCTAAGAAAGTGTGAATGATCAGAGATTGGGGAGATGGGTCTGCTGTAAAGTGATTACCACAGTCATGAGGACCTGAGTTCTGACTCCTAGCACTCATGTACGTGGGGTAGATAGCCACATACGTCTGCAAACTTAGTCCTATGAAGTAGAGAAAAGCAGATCCTGGAGCTGGTTGGTCAACCAATCTAGCCAATTGGTGAATCCAGTGGGAGAGCTTGTCTCAAAATAATAACAATGATAATGGGTAGACACCTTTAACCAGAAGGCAATTGACATCTACCTCTGGCCTCCACACGTGCACACAGAGACTGGTGGTGATAGAATAAGGGGAATCGGGTAGTAAATATTATGGTAAATGTGCCCAGATCTATGTTCCAGACAGGAGCACACACTGACTGGTCTACTCCTTACGTGACTTTTGTTCAGCAACTCCCTCCAGCTTCTGAGAGATGCTTTTTTATGGAACAAATTAAAATGCTGACAATTGGGTAATTGTAATTAAATTGTAATTTACAGATTGTAATTAAAAACTATAAAGTAGTCAAGAATCTTTAGTATAGTATTCAAATCAGTAAGAAAAACCAAAATCAAGTCAACTGATAAAGTCTCAGGAAAATGTTCAGGGTATGTCAACTGTGGGTAGAGTGAACAGTGGCCCTGTAAGAACTCATCAAATACAAGTAACTAAATATGTACTAAGGAACCAAAGAGCTGGCTCATCAGTTAGTTAGGAGCATGCAGAGGACCTGACATCCTCTGGTCCCAACATCCACCCATAAGTCTAACTCCAGGGATCTTACGCCCTCTTCTGGACTCTGCAAGCACATGAGCTAATCACACACACACACACACACACACACACACACACACACACACACACACACACACACAATTTTAAAAATATGTTATTAAAGGGTTAGGGTGATAGTTCAGCCAGTAAAGCACCTGTCTTGTATGAATACCTGAATTTTGAGCCCTAGGACCCACATTAAAAAAAAAAGTCCAGATGTGATGGTACATGCTTATCATTCCAGCACTGAGAAGGCAGAGACAAGCAGATCACACAGACTTATGAGCCAGCCTAGCTGAATTGGTGAGCCCCAGGCCAAAGAAATCCCTGTCTAAAAGAGGAATAAAAGGGTAAGAGGAGAAAGAAATGGAAGAAAATATATTTGAGGCTGTTTTTTCCTCTGTCCCCCACATGGGTAACCCCTATATACAAATATGCACACATATAAAATATGGATTAAGGTGGCTGGAGAGATGGCTCAGAGGTTAAGAGCAGACTGCTCTTCTAGAGGTCCTGAGTTCAATTCCCAGCAACCATATGGTGGCTCACAACCTTCTGTAATGAGATCTGATGCCCTCTTCTGGCATTCAGGCATACATGCAGGCAGAACACTGTGTACAAAATAAATAAATAAATAAATCTTTTAAAAAACATGGATTAAATGCATGTTCTGAATTGAAAAGCATCTTAGCTTATAGTTAGAAAGAAAATGCTTATGTAATAAATAGTGCTTACTTGATTTTCAATTTCAGTTGTGTAGTTGGTGTATACAACAGAAGATGAATTCCAAAGGTCTTTGGTAAATTTTTCATTAATTTCAAAAGTGCCCCAAACCTCTATGAGAAATAATGAAACAAAAGACTTTAGATACTATAATTTAATATCTTGATTGTATCAGCAGTATAAAATTATGAAAGTACAATGGTACTTTCAGAACCCATGGGAGGTATTTCTACTTATTTTCACAAAATATATTCATCTGAAATAATAAAGGAAAGAAAGAAAACCAGAATCTTGGTGGTTTAGTTTCTAACAGTCATGAGAAAATGCTAGTGATCAAAATGTGAGCTTTCATTGGCATTTGGTGAAGACACTTGCCTTCTTTTTTTTCTTATATTTCAACCCAGTCTCCCCCACTAGCCTGACTAGCAAGCCAAATGCTTTGTGGCCTCTCCAAGGGTTTACTCTGGAACTGGATATAAACATGGTCCTTAATAGACACATGATGCCATAGCATGAATTGGCGTGGTCTTGAGAAGGGGAACTAGGCATGCCTAGTTAAGCTGCACTGTTTCTGGTTCCTCGCTCAGTATTTCCTCATACCTAAAATCCACAGCTTCAAGATGACTGGAGCACTCTTTTGGGAAGCCCCTCCTCTTCCTCCTGTCCTAGAACTCAGTATGTAGGCTAAGCTGGCCTCAAACTGGGGGCAACCCTCTTGCCTTTGTCTCCTGGGTGCCAGGATTAAAGGCATGAGCTCCCACACTCAGGGAATTTTCTTAAAGTTCATTAAGGCCTGAAGGCCATGTCAGACTCATCTCACTCTTCATGAAACAGAAACTTGTTAACAGTGGCTTCCCTGGTCTTGGGCTATGGTGTGTGTGTGTGTGTGTGTGTGTGTGTGTGTGTGTGTGTAACTTGGAATACATTTACTGCAATCCAGAGCAGACCTTTCAATGTAATCACCAAGTGTTCTTCCTGCATTCACACATCTAGAATTGATGCTGATAAAGAGAAAAGGGAGAAGGAATATGTTCTGACTCAGGCAGTTGTCTACTTAGATTATAGAGAATCTTTCTAAATCTCAATAGAATCCTGCAATCATAGAGTTGAGCTGCACGCATCTAGAGATTGAAATGACATGCAAATATCATCTCGTGGTTCCAAACCTGCTGCATGGTGGAGCTTTCACTGGGTCTAGACAAGTCTAACAGGGTGCCCCTACCTCATCGCTGCCCTCTGCATCAACTGCCCTCATCTAGGCAAAGAGCTACAGTACTGTCTCTGTTGTGTCCTGGAATGAGAGTAAGCAGCCAAGGGATACTTACTTGCTCTCTCACAGAAATTAACACTCTGGCTGAGGTCTTTGAGAGGGCAATTACAGCTTGGGAGGTGCCCAGTTGTGTGAAAGTAGCAATTCTGGGGATCCAGGCAGGAGGGAGGAAACCACATATAGCTGTCTTCACAGGCACACTCCAGGAGCCCCTTCAGGTTTCCGCAGTCTACACATATATAAAAGGAAATAGAACACAATCCCACTGTGACTGCTTTGTGAATCAACTTCCGCTCAGTTCTGGGCTCTGACTTGCAATCTCAAGCAAGGATTTCTCAGAAGAAGCTGGAGGGATGACAATGTATTTAAGACAGGGAAATTTCCAACTCCATAAATTCTAAGACTGGTGCAAAACTCCTACCAAAAATAAAAACCCAAATGGATTGGTTTAGCACCGAAAACAAGGCTACAGATCCCACTGGTACCTACCATAATGGAAGAGAAAGGCACAAGAGCGTCATCATGACATAGAGTTATTGAAAATGTATAAAGGGAATTTGACTGCTATCTCATTTAAGTCCACCTATCAGCACTTCAAGAGAGTCCTTAAAAGCCACATGGCAGGGCTGAAGACATGCTTCAGTGTTTAAGAGCTCTTGCTATTCTGCAGGAGACCTGAGATTGGTTCCTAGCACCCACATGGTAATTCCCAGGCATCTAGAACTCCAATTCCAAGGGGTCTGAAGCCTTCTGGTCTCCTCAGGCACCAAGCATGCATGTAGTGCACTTATATACATGCAGGCAAAATACTCATGCATGCTGAGCATGGTGGTCCATGCCTTTAATCCCAGCACTTGGGAGACAGAGGCAGATGGATCTCTATGAGTTCAAGGCCAGTCTGGTCTACAGAACAAATTCCAGGACAACCAAGGCTACAGAAAGAAACCCTTTCTTGGGGTGAAAAAAACCCACTCATACACATAACAATTTTCAATGTTTTAAAACTTTAGAAAGGCAGAATGATTTGGAGGTGGGGTAATGATGAAAATGCCTACCAGTCAATGCTGTGCATTCATTATTTTCTATTGGACCCAAGACGCCCATCAAAAGTTTTTCATCTTAACAGAAAGTTAAAGGATAAGGGGTGGGCAGGGGGGAAGGAGTGGGGATAACTCAGGCTATGTTTGAGAAGCATGTAGTGAGTGCTTGTCAAACTTTACCACACTTCGGGGGCCTCTGGAGTGTTTTATCCCAGAGTTTCCGATTCAACCAGTCTGAAATGGACTAAAGAGTTTGCATTTCTATTTCTATTCAGTTGCCTAATCTTGATGGTGGTGGTGATCTGAACACTTTGGGACTCACAGCTTTAGCCAAGTCATTAAACTTCTCTGGGAACCACTTTTGTGGTTTGAGTTACCAAGGATTTCTTGCTATCTTCTAGATACACACTGGGATTTTATATCCTGGCCTCGTGAGGCTGGATGGAGTCATAGCATAGATTCTAGCCAATAAAATGGCAACAAAATTAGTGTCTTCCATTCTAAGCCAAAGAATGTCATTGCCTGCCTGAGAGCCTCCAAAGATAGCCACAAACACAGTCCCCTTGCCAACATGCAATGGGCATGCCCCATTAAGAAGAAACATTGGTTCTTGATGCCACAGAGCTTGTGTGGAATGGTCATTTTTCACAGCACAGCCCACCTACCCTGACTGGCCTGCCCCTCTCCCCAGTTACACTCCCAGTCCCTGGGAAGCTAATTTACATGTGGTGGCCTTCACTCTGATGATCTTGCTGGGCCCGTGTAAGCATGGTGATGGAGATTTCAAATGCTTCAGAAATCTTTTCAGTTCTTTCTTCTCCTCAGGATCCCTGTATGTCATCTGAAGCAGCACCTCATACTTCTGGACTGGAGGGAGAGAGAGGCTATCAGAAGCTGTCGGGGGCGGGGGAAGGGAGAGAGCATCACTTAGCAGTCACCACATCCTGTTTAGGGCTCCTGGACTGTCGCTGGCCCTTGTTACTACATTCTACACATCCAGACATTGACCTCACATGTGTGCAAGCAGACCTGCCTTACCCATGCCTCATACGAATCTCTCCTCCACTTCTGCGAGGCCAATAGTTCCTATGCTCTCTACCCTGCCCCAGAGACTCAAGGGGAAACAGGCACATCCTACCCACCCTTCTGCCCTACCCTAGCTTTGGTTTTCTTGAACTATCTCCAACACAAAAACCCAACTTCAACCTTTTAAAAGGTCCCACTAATTAGTGGGAGTTAGGGATTGGCTTGAAATACAAAAGCAAAACACAAGTAGACTTGAGCTTGTGTCTGTGCACATTTGCCTCCAGCTATTTATTTCTGAAAATAAATCATTTTCCTTTCTTTCCCCAAAGAGGAGCCTTCTGTATGTACTTGGGGCTCTGGTGTCTTTAGCTTCCACATGCCAAGTCCAATCTTACCTTGGGCCTTTGCATGTGCTAACTCTACAGCCAGACTGACTGGGTTCGAATCTTGTCTACAGTTCCTTAGGAGTAACCCTAAATGATGGGAAACAGGGTAAATGTGACCCTGATTACTTTCCCGGGAGTTAGTGGTACTGAAGTCAGATAGGTTGGGTTAAATCCTGTCTTATAGCCTCTAGCTTAGGGCCCTAGTTTCGCCATCTTCCAATAAAGATGCCATGAGTAGTCAAAGTGTGAGTGTGATGGTCTAGTTCATCTAGTAGAACTAAACACACACAGTCTGGCATAGTGATAGCCCAGTAAATAAATGCTTCCTATGTTTTTATTGTCATTGTTACTGTTGAGGAGATCTTGTTTGTGGCATTCCATGTTAAAGTTTCTGTTTCATTTCCCTGAGGAACTATAGTTTTGCATTGGGAACATGTTTCATGCTGTGTCTAATACATGGCATGTGCACTTAAATGCATTGCACACCAGAAAACCTTCCGGGGACTGCTCTAGAACCTAGCATTCAATGTTTTCACAAGGAAATACATTCAGGTCTTCAGACATCAGGCCTGTGTGTTAAGATCCTCCACGGGACCCATCCCCAAGGTGAGAGCTCTGCCCATTAATTACATTCATAGGAGGGGGACACAAAGGAACAAAGGACAGGCTCCTGTCAGACAGGGCACATGATGCTCATCTTACTTGTCAGTGTGCCTGGATTTGTAGTCACCTAGGGGACACACCTCTGGATAGGTATTAGAAGTAGTTTCCAGAGAGGTTTAACTGAGAAGGAAAAGCCCATCCTGGATGTGGATGGCACCATTCCATGGGCTGCATAAAAGGAAAGGGAGAGAAAGCAGGTTGAGCATCAGTGTCCATCCCCAAGCTTCCTGGATGTGGGCCCAGTGTGACCAGCTGCCTCAGGCTCCAGTTGCCATTTGTTCCTGGCATGATGGGCTGACTGAATGGCCTCTTACATCATACATCATGAGCCCAAATAATCCGGTCCTTCACTGCAGAGCTTTGGTAAGATGTCTGTAAGACACAGCAGCAAGTATAACAACTATTACACTGGGTCTTTACTTAATCCTTAAAAATGCCTTTCTCTTAAGAATCACCATTGTTCTCACTCACCAAATTGGAATAATTTCATTCTGTGCCTAAGACCACCTGGCAATTGCTGAGGCCGGAACCCTGTTTCCTTGGCATCAGCGTCCAAAGTACCAGGACACCTAGCAGGGTCTTACCTGGATGCCTTTTCTCAACCACACTGATAGCTCCTTTGGTTTTGTTGTCATCATTTTTCTGCTTTAAAAAAAAAGGAAAGAAGATGAGTATGATGAAGCTTTGAGAGCTGCACACTGTAAGGCCTGTTGATTTTCCTGGATGAATTGAAATCGCCCATCCAAGTTGAGAGTGGTAGCAGGTGGCCAAGAAGGGCCTTGCTGAGGCTGTTTTGAGCAAAAACCTGCAGGAAGTGAAGGAGTCTGCCAGAAGAGCTTTGCAGGAGGCGGGAACAGCATGTGTGCAGGACAGTGCTATGAATGTGCCAATCTGTGATGATAAAGTAAGGAGTTGAAGAGAATGAAGAAGGGCGAACAGAGAAGAGTAAGAGGTGGGACCCAGGGTTCACACAGGCAGGTCATGCAGACAAAGGCAAGTCATGTCTATCTATCAGATCTCAGGAAGAAGCTTTTAATTTTTTTGTGGGAAGAGAAGTGTGTGTGTGTGTGTGTGTGTGTGTGTGTGTGTGAGTGAGTATGTGTGTGCAAATGCGCGCGCGTGCGCATGCATTGTACATACATGAGTATATTAGTGAGTGCACCCATGTGCACATGAGAAGACCAGAGGAAGCTACTGAATGTCTTTCTCTATCACTCTTTAGTCTATCCCTGGCAGATAGGGCTTCTCACTGCCGGGAATCTGGTCAATGTTCTGGCTAGACTGCCTGACTCAGGGCCTGCCTGTCTCCACCCTCCTGTACTGGGGTTACAGCCATGCCCCATTTTTTAAGTGAATCCTGGGGATTCGAAGTTGTGTCTTCATGCTTGCAGAACAAGAGCTCTTCTCCACTGAGTCGGTTCTGCAGTCCTGGTTTTAGATTTTACCCAATGAGTCATGCAGAGTTTGAACAGGGGAATACAAAAAGATTCACTCTGATTTACTTTATAGAAGTCTTAATCCTGATGCCATGTTAAGAGTGGCCAAGCAGAGAGGCAATGAAAGCATTTCTGGGGCTACAGGAGCAAGATAATAAAGCTGTAGGTGGAGGCCACAGCAGAAGTTGGAGATTTCTGACTTCTGGAGATATTTAAATTTTAAAACTGGTTCACAGCTGGGTGGTGGTGGTGCATGCCTTTAATCCCAACACTCGGGAGGCAGAGGCAGGTGGATCTCTGTGAGTTCAAGACCAGCCTGGTCTACAAAAGCTAGTTCCAGGACAGCCTCCAAAGCCACAGAGAAACCCTGTCTCGAAACGCCCCTCCCCTCAAAAAATAACTGGTTCACATTTGCAACATTACAACATTCAAGTCTGGCACCATTTCTACCCAGGTAGAAAGAGAGTGGTGTCATAGGAAAAGAAGAGTAGGTTTAGTGAGAAAACTTTGGGGTTCAGCTTGGGACATGTGAACTTGAGGAACACTAGTGCCCAAACGGATGGTAGCTACATCAGTGAAGGGTTCAGGATGAAGCATTCAGATGAAAATATACGTTCGGGAATCATCAGTGCATTGAAAAAATTCAAGCCCTGATTCTAGAATGAAAACATCAAGAAAGTGAGTAATGGCTGGGTGATGGCTCAGTTGTTAAAGCACTGGATGTACAAGAGTAAGGACCAACTAGAGTTTGGGTCCCCAGAACCTATATATGTGCTGAGTAGGCAAGGTGGCCTGCCTCTAGCTCCAGCCCTGGAAGATGGACACACAGAACAAGCTGGCTAGCGAGAATCACCACATCACTGACCTCTGAGCTTGAGAGATCCTGCTCAATACAGTGGAAAACAATTGGGATGGATTTCTAATATCAGCCTCTGGCTTCTGTGTGTATACACACTCTCACACACATGTGCCCACACACATGCAAACATGCACACTCACAAATTTGCAACAACTACACACAAATAGAAAAATGAGTACACTGGCACTCCAGAGATAGAGGCAGGAAGGTCACTACAAGTTCGAGGCTAACCCAGTCTGCACAAAGAATTCCATGCCAGCCACAACAACCTATCTCCAAAAGCATAAAACAAGGGAAGCATGGTGGCACACATCTATAATCCCCAAACATAGGATGCAGAGGCAGGAAGATCAGAAGTTCAAAGCCAGGCTCAGCTACATAGTGAGTCCGAGACCAGCTTGAGTTACATGAGACCCTAAGCAACAATGTCAAAAGGAAAAGTGGGAAGTGGAAAAGACAGAGAAGGCCCACAGGTAGTTAGTGTCCACCCCTATGGCCTTCTGTGCCCAAGAGGCCATAGCAGAGACTCTGTTGAATTAGACAAGATCTCCAAGATGGTTACATTTTCATGGAGAACTTCATTTGCAATCCAGTCACCTGACTCCAAAGAGATGAAATAACTCATTGAAGAGCTCACAGTGAATGCTAGAAACACTGAGACAAGAACTTGGAACTTCTGAATTCCACCAGCCTCTGTAGCTTGGTTGCCTGGAGAGAGATAGATTTTGAAGGTAGCAGGAAGGTGGAGAGGAGATATGGCTGCCAAGAGAAACAAGACATGCACCAACTCACCTGCAGGAAGCCGTTGGTGCCCTCGGTTAGAGCGAAAAGAGGGATGAACCACAGCAATCCAACTCTCATCTCCAGTAGATGCTTCTTGCCCTTTGGATTGAATATAGACACCCTGTGTCTAGCCACCCAGGAAGCTGTGTACTGAAACAAATATTACGAGCCAAGACTGTAAGCAGGTGCGTTCAGCTTCCGGCCCCTTGAGTTTTATTGAGACTTTCTTTGTCTCATTAAAATACCCAAGGGCTCTAAGAAGCACAAACATTAAAGATAGATTTGGAGTGCTTAAACTTCAAGATAACAACCAGCCAGTCCAGAAAGTTCCCTTCTTCTTAGCTGATGGGGCCAGCAACAAATGGTTCTTAAGTTTCTATTTGTATTAAATAATTTGGACAAGATTCAACACATAAACATCGTGGTGATTTAAAAGAAAAGTGTCCCTCACAGGCTCTGGTGTTTGAACATTTGGTCCCCAGTTGGTGGCACTGTTTGGGGAAGTTTTAGGAGGCAAAGGCTTGCTGGAGAAAGCACATTGTGGGGGCGGTCTTGGGGAGTTTACAGGCTCATCCACTTCCAGCTCAACATCTCTGATTTGTGTTTGCAGTTGAATACGATCTCTCAGCTTCCTGCTGCCAGGCCTCCCTCACCGATACAAACTGCCCCTCCGGACAGTCAGCTAAAATGCATTCTTTCTTCCTTTAGTTGCCATTGGTCATGGTGTCATAGGAACAGAAAAATAACTTCTACAGACATGCTCACAAAATGAATCTTTTGTATCCAGGTTATTTGGTGTCAAAGAAAAATCATGCTAATTTACAACTATCCTGTCTAATACTTAGCTACCAGGCATGTGGGGCCTCTACATTGTTTATCATAATAAAAACTGTATTTAAAATTCGGTTTCTCAGATGAAGGCTATAGCTTCATCTGATAAAGCACTTGCCTAGCATGCTTGAGTTCAGCCTATAGTAACACAACATCATTGATAGTCCCATGAACACACACACACACACACACACACACACACACACACACACACACACCCTTCTGTGTCAGCATTTCAGGATTGGTCCAGAGCCACTGCACATACAAATGGCTGCACAAATCCCTCATATAGAATGATAGAGCAGTGGTTCTCAACCTGTGTTTCATGACCCCTTTGGGGATTGAATAACCATTTCACAAGGGCTGGATATCAGATATCCTGCATATCAGATATTTACAACACAATCCACAGTACTACCAAAACTACAGTTACGAAGTAGCGATGAAAATAATTTTATGGTTGGTGGTCATCATAACACAAGGAACTGTGCTAAAGGGTCACAGCATTGGGAAGGGTGAGAACCAGTATCTGACATACCTTCCCAGAGAATCCAAGTCATCTCTACATCACCTGGACATATTGCTTAGGAAATTATGGCAAGAAAAATGTCTGCATGCGTTCACGGAAGACACACATTACTTATCACATTGACTGAATTAATGGGCATTTTAATATATGTATGCGTGTGTGTGTGTGCGCGCATGTGTGGGTATGTACATAACACACACAGTATAACTGAATTCTTTCCCTGAGGATGTTGTACTTTGGATATTCTCTCTCTCTCTCTCTCTCTCTCTCTGTGTGTGTGTGTGTGTGTATACGCATGTGTGTATCTCTGCATATGTGTGTGTCTGTGTGTCTCTGTATATGCGTATGTCTGCGTGTTACTATGATAAAGTGCCCTGACAAGAAGCAACGGAGGGAGAAAGCCTATATTCAGGGTGAGTTCCGCCTCCTCACTTAACAGTCAAGACCATCTTCAGCAGACTCCACTACTTGCCAACGCAATTGAGACAGTTCCTCAAGTGAGCCTCTCCACCCAGGTGACTCTAAGTTATATTAGGGTGACAGTTTAAACTAACCGCATGATGATTTTTTTTTAGTCAAGGTCTCACATAGCACAAGCCTGTAGCAAACTGACTGGGCAGCAATGGGGGAGTATGAACATCCAATCTTCCTGCCTCTGCATCTGAACGTCCGAGATTATGGGTATGCATAACCACACCGTTGGTTTGGATATAGCCAAACCTTGGATATTTTCCTTAGTTTTATTTTATTTCGGGCTCATTGTGAAGTTGTCAAGCATGACTAAGTTAATACTCCAGGCAGTACAGCCACACAGCAAGTGGGGGAGGGGCTGCCTCCTCCCCTCTTTTTCTCCACTCCCAGGAAGGCTCTTTTAATTTGAATTGCTAGGTATTCTTTTGCTTGTGACTTGTAACCTGGAGCTGACATGTGCATGTGTGTCCCCCGTCCCCTGTCTGTGTGCCGATGGCTGTTACTAAACGAAACGCTGGGCCTCACATGACTCCCCACAACTCGCTGCTCTCTCCTGCTAAGAACTCTTTCTCCATGTGCAGCATGAGGTTGCAAACCCAGCTCAGAAAGCCTGGGTGAGAGCTCTGGGCATCGTCAGGATGTCTTCTCTCCCACCTCCTCATTCCCCTGCTTCTTCCTCTGGACTGCCTCTTGGAATTTTCCAGAAATGGTTATCAGTGATGCCCAGTGGAGGTTTGTGTCAGTTCACGAGCTGATCATGAATAGATGCACCATAAAGAAAGAAGGGAAGGCCTGGAGAGATGGTTCTGTGAGTAAAAACACTGACTGCTCCAGAGAACCCAGGTTCAGTTCCAGCAGCCACATGGCAGCTCCCAACTGTCTGCAACTCCAGCTCCATGGAATCTGACACCCTTGCACAAGCATACATGCGGGAAAAACACCAGTGCATATAAAATAAAAATAAACAAATAAATCGTTTTTAAATGCTTAAAGAAAGAAAGAAAGAAAATGAAGAAGCAGCAAAGGAGAAACAGAAGGGAAGGATCGGGAATAAAAGAGGAGCATTTTGGTACTCTTTAGAAAACATAGACATCCATATTTTCCTTAAAGCCTGTTAAATCTTCAACAGGTCCATCCTAGCTGTGGATATTATTAAATGTATTCAGCAATGTCTGTGTGCAGATTGATGTACTTCTAGATGATTTCTAGACTAGGTAAAAGATCTATACACTTACTCTGGTCCAGGTTTTGGTACCTGTATTAGTCAACGTCCTATTGCCATAATGTTTTGTTGTGGCAAAATATCAGACAAAAGCAACTTAAGTAAGGCACTACTCATTTTGGCTCATGGCTTGAAGGTATAGCTCACCAAGCAAGGAGGGCATGGTAGTGGGGACTAAGGTTTCTGGTCACATTGTAGCCACAGTTAGGCAGTCTCATGCTGGTAGTCAGCTCCTTGTCTCTGTTTTTTCCAGTCTCGTATGCCAGTCCATAGAACAGTGTTACCGACATTCAAGGGTCTTCCCCTCATTTAACCTAATCTAGAAGCCCCTCATAGACATCAGAGTTTTGTTTCTTTTCAGATTCATGTCAAAATTATCACAGCTCCAAGGCTTGAACTAATCACTTTCCACTCTCTGGTTTCTTAATGTGTAGTTTCCTGTGTTCTAGGGCTGGGTAATTCATTGAATGAAAACAAGAGACCCCAAGGTAGGTATTTCTGAACTTCAAATAAGTAATGAATAACATTTCAGGATAATTTTGCTCTCTGTGTACTTGGAGACATTCTCCATTGTCAGACAATATGAATGTATCTGGAATTCAAGGTTAACTGGGCATCCTCTATTGGACAAGTCAAAAGGAAAGAAATAGCATCTCAAGGTAAAACAGATTGAAGCAGGCTCGGCAGCTAGACTGCTTCCTTCCAGTGTTGACAGTTACAAATGAATACGTATAATAGATACTCTTAGGCTTTCTGTGCCTTTTCATATTCACCTTTAACATAAGGGAATCAGCATCTAATTCACAGGTTCTTGGGAGAGTCCAATGTGTTGCCATATATAGAATGGCCCAAACGGTAACCACTGTCACCCAAACACTGTCACCCAAATAGTAGCCACTGTCACAAACACAGAGCAGCAATATCATTGCCCTTACTATTTCCACCTTATTGCCAGCTTGTGAAGCTCCTTGATGGATTGTGTCAGAATTTAACTTCAATTCTGAGTCAAATTAACTTGATGCAAGTGATGCTGTCGATTTGTTGGCCCCCACCATGGAGATAGAGGCCTCTAAGCCTTCCGGGAACAACCAGAGTGAGTTTTTTTCCAGGAGCTGAATGACCTTGCTTGAAGGAGGACCCTCAACACAAAGAAAGTAAAGTGTGTATGTGTGTGTGTGTGTGTGTGTGTGTGTGTGTGTGTGTGTGTGGTAACCACACACATTCTGCTTAACTGCATTCTTAGACATAAACCTCACAGCATTTTCGTCCATTTCCTTCCAAGCCAGAAGGATCCCAGCAACTCATAAAAAAAAAAAAAGCTCAAATCTTTGCATAACTTCACAAATGAGTTGTTCTTGTCACTAGAACATGGGTGTTTACATCACACTTCACTCTGGGGGCAGTTAATGTCTGGCTGACAGCTGTGTTGGCATTGCCATCTGTGGAAAGGCTTAACCATAGCGCCCCCCCCCGCCCCACTTCCTTGAATTCATTCAAGTGAATTCATTTCTGATAATCCCTGTCCTTTATGTAACCACAATCATTAAAACTTGCTGTTGTGCCTCTGGGGACAGAGGCACATTGTCTCCACGTTCTTTTAGTATCTGTTTCTGGACTCTGAATACCATTTATTTATGTCAACAGTGTCAACAGCGGTCTCCTTATCCACCCCATGTAGCCCTAAATCTGCTCACACAGACACGCTCCAGCATTTTAAGCAACAATCTAATATTCGGTACCACTGAACTCGGGCTTTTCTACCTTCAGTATTTATGAACTTTTGCCTTTTCCTCTATAAACAGAAGCAGTCCCCATAGATTGGTCCCCCTCCTCTCTGCCTTAAAATGATAAACCCATGGGTGTGCACAGATGAACAGGTACACACACATGGGGATGACAGAGTAGGGGTACACACATGGGGATGACAGAACAAGGGTACACACATGGGGCTGACAGAGCAGGGGTGCACACATGGGGATGACAGAGCAGGGGTGCACACATGGGGATGACGGAGCAGGGCTCCACAGAGGATTCGGAATCACAGTTCAACCAGGGCTAGGCAGAGGATGTACACAAACTCAGCTTTATTTCAATTCTCATTCTGTGGGTTTGGAGTAGCACTTTTGTGGGAGATATCTTTGTATAGGAACCTCCAGGGCTGCTTGCCTTTCTGATAGGTTTCCTTGTTTATCCTGGAGTGGGTAGATGTAATAGAGAGAATAGAGAATAGTGGGGGGAGGGCGAGGAGTGCACAGAAAAGGCACAAAGTGTTTGGAAAGTTGACCAAATTTAAGAGCTAAATTTTCTCTGAAAAAAAAAAAACCCAATAACTTAAAATTATCTAAAATTTCAGTGGTTGTCCAGTTATGTGTAGACACAACAAAAAAGAGTTGCTTTGAGACAGGATCTCCTGTAGCCTAGGCTAGCCCCCTGTTCACTATGCAGCTAAGCCTTGAAATCCTAAATCCCCTGCCGGTGCCACCCACATGCTGTGATCACAGACATGCAGAACCCAATCCATTTAAATCATGGGTCAGGATTGAACCCTGGACCTCACTCTCCCAAATGAGCTACATCTCCAGCCCCAAGCCACCCAGTCCCCAGCCCCCAACCCCCCAGCCCTGCAGAGTAAAATTTTAAACCCATACTTTATGCTTTAACATTCCTGTGTGTGCGCTGTGGTAGGAGAGGCCAGGATGAGTCAGAAGTATCTTATAGTAAGAAGAACCTTCTTAAATATAAGGTTTTATGAATGCCATGAGCTCTCTGAGTCAGCCTCCACCTTTACCACGAGGGATAACACCAGGTCCATTCATATCCACTCAGATTCAGTGTCTGTGTGCACACTGTTTCCTTATCTAATTGCTCTCCCATTCATTCACAATAGTCACCAAGTCTGACAGGACTGAAAATGGTCAATGGGGCTGGTTTTCTCCTCCCACTGGTCATTAATCCCTGAGCATCTCTGAGATGAACTGAGAATGTAACTGAAAACTAATGCCTTGGTTGGGAACAGAGAAGGAATTTTTCTTAATTCTTAGGCTTGAAAGGCCCGAAGTATTATTTAGCTCAGTTGCCTCTTCTCCATGGATAGTCTACCAATTGCACTACCAAACTTTGATTTATTTTCAACCACTGTGAAAAGAGGGTTGTCAATTTCCCAAGGATGGTGAAATGCATTGGATACTAACAGTATAACTGTATGGACTACCATGATTATAGCCCCAAGCATTAAGAGAGACTCTGGGAGGTTGAGAAGATGCCTGAGTGGGGGAAGTGCTTGCTATGTTACTGTGGAGACCTGAGTTCGAATCTCTAGCACCTATGTAAAAAGTCAGGCAAGGCCACGTGTGCTTATAACCCCCAGCACCAGAGGGCAGAGACAGGAGGATCCCTGGAGCTCGCTGGCCAATCTAGTCAATCAGTGAGCTCTAGATAGTTAGAGACCTATTGTTTTTCAAACTAAACAAATTAACAGAGGAAGACATCAGAAGTCAACTTCTGGCCTCCATACCTGCGCATAGGGCAAGTGCACCCACAAAACTCATATGCACAGGTATTCAACATACACAGAGCAGGAGGGCAGAGAAAAAGTAAAAACCCCAGCAGCTATGGTGATACCCACTTTTTCAAATCCCTGGGGGATGGGACTGGAAAATCTCTGTTCCAGGACCCTTGTTGATTATGCTTTCCTGTGTTACACTGGATGGCTGCACCTTCAGAGGCCAGTGTGAGGGCCTACTAAGGCTGAGTCCCTTCTAGTCCCAAACTGAGCTGGTCCAAAGCTGGTTTTCTAGCAGCCTGCATGTCCTTTGCCCTTCCTAAGATTTCAGCTGGAAAGTGGTGATTCCAACCCAACAGACCACCTGTCCCTTCCCAGCAAGGCTAGTGCTTTTCTAACACCTGTCTGTGCTTTGTCTTAGAAGAGCATCTTTGAGGATGCCTCCCTGATCGAGATCTCATCACCCCGAGTTCCAACTGGACCCCTACTAGGGTTCATTTCCCAGGAAAACACACCCAGTTCAGTTATGACTGCAAGCCTGGTAGCTTGGAACTCTGTCAACCACTTGTGCCTGAAGATTTTTCTCTAGTAACTTGTACAAAGTGAGTTCCCCCGAGCGCTTATGGGGAGATTAATAATCTTGTGGCCAAGTTACTTCTTCATCCAAGTCTTCAGCCTTCCTGGAACCCACACGCCAGCCCTAGGTCTGCTTTAAAGAAAACTCTGCTGAATGGCACTCTGAGAGGAGAAATCAGAGTAACTGAAATAAGAGTAACCCCAGCTGGGCTGGGGAGATGTCTCAGTGGGTAAAAGTGCTTGCTGCACAAGTATGAGGACCTGAGTTCAAATCCTCAGATCCCCAGACAAAAACTGGATGCATAGCACAGCATCTGTGATCCTGGGACCACTATGTGGAGATAGACCAAAGACAGAAGGAGTTCCAGGCCTCTCACAGCACAGCTACCCTGGTGCACATGACAGAAAACAAAGGGCCCTGTCTCAAACAGGACAGAGAGTAAAGACTGACACCCAAGGTTGTTTTGAATGCCCTTACCTATGTTATGGCATGTACAGACCTGTACTCACACACAAACACACATGCACACGCACACACACTCACATACACACACCCACACATGTATACACAGAGCAAAACTCCAATTTACAAAATGCTTTCCATATATACTGATTTTTGGTAACCTTGTAAATTACAAAGAACTGTTTCAATTTGCATTTATGGAAAATGAAAAGGGTAGACCTAACCTACTTCAAAGAATGTATCACTATTTCCTTAAATCCTCTTTCCCTTAGACTATGAGTCAGTCAGATTTCATTTATTGAAGCATGATTTTAATACTCAGGACTGTAATTTGATCCCCATCTGCATACCTTACAAACAACTTCCCTTGTTCAGGAAAAGGAAGCATATGTGTTTCTCAGTAATCATCCCAGGAAATGTGAGTGTCTTGATTGTGGGAAGAGACTCTATGTACAAGGACAAGGACAGAAAGCTGGGCCTTCTGGGAGGGAGCTGAAGAGCTGTTGTGCCTGCCGGCTCTTTGCCTGTTGATTCAAGCTGCTGCAAATCCCTCCTGACTGAGACACTTTCTTTACTTTGAGACAATGTCTCTAAATCACAAACCCTTGTCGGTGCTGGAATTACTGGTGTGTGCCACCTTTATTTGATCTCCAGGAATCCAACTCTCACCATGTATCTGAGCCATCCCATTCATCTGCTGAGCCATATGGCCAGCTCTTGGCCTACTGTGCATACATGTCTCTGACATGAGTGATGGCACGAAATATCAGGTTCGTATAAGTGAAACCCTTCCAGTTGGTTAAGATAGGTAGCTCAGACTGGCTTCAAACTCTCATGTGAAGCCAAGAATGACCACTACCTCCCAAGTGCTGGGATCACAGACTTGTGCCACCATGCTCAGTTCTAAGTGGAAATTTTTATAGAAAATAAAAGTCATGAATTTTTAAGGGCTTTGGGGTAAAGTGTGGTATATTATTTAGTATTTGCTTGAGGAAGAAACAAGGGGAAACAGTTGTAAAAAAAAAATTGGTTGTTTTTCTGTTGGTCACTGAGCAAGTTCAATTGGGAGATAACTTTCAGGTTTGTCCTGGTTTGGGCCAGGTTTCAATAGAGTCATCGTACAGTGGAAATAAACTAATTGCTTCAGCCTCTTATGGTAGCAGCAGTCACTTCTGACCTGAGCACTTGGAAGGAGGCAGGAGGACAAGAAGTTCAAAGCCAGCCTGGGCTACATAGTGAATTTGGGGCCAGCCTGAACTACATGAGATCCTGCCTTAACAAACAAACCCAATAAATGAAATCCAACTTAACCTTCTCAAGCATGATTAGATTTTAAGAGAGTCCACGCCACTGCTAGTTAGACATAGCCAAACAACAGGTATTTTTACCAGGTTTTTTTTGATGATGCTCATATATGCTAGTCAGCTGAACTTTCCGGGTAGATGGCCCTGGGCATGCCCTGTCCTCGATACAAGTCTTGGCTTTCAGCTGGAAAACCACATTGGAGACTGAGAAAAATTGTCTCAAGTTACACAGTGAGGAAGAGACAGAGCCCTATTGTTTCTAATAGTTGCTTCAAGGATGCTCTTCCTTGTTTATCCTTTCAGGAAATGAGATGTTGAAATCACAATATTCCCCCACAGAGTGAAACACAGCTTAACCGACAGAGCTGAGACCCTAAGGAATCAAAGGGTCATTAGCTTACCTGGGCCTCCTGTCTTCCCAGCACAGCTGAGCCTTTCCCCTGTGCTCCCCAACCACTGGCACTGTTGAGGGGTGGCAGTGAGCACTGATGGCACCAGGGGCAGTCCTGGTAGTCTCAGGTCCTCTGATGTCTCAGCAGCTCAGGCCAGGTTACTGCCTCTGCCTGCAAACACCAGGACACACCCCCTGCAGAGGAAAGCAAAGATACTTTTTTCTCTCTCTCTCTCTCTCTCTCTCTCTCTCTCTCTCTCTCGCTCACTCCTCTTCTCAGAGCTGGTAAGCCAGTTCAGAGACCCAAGACTTACTGCTTCTGCCACCAGAGACGGGAAGCTGAGATCATTAGCTACAAAGGAAACCAATGTGCTCATGCAGATCAGGACCCTACAAAATACCACTCCCTCGGGTGCTCCTATCCAGCCTCAGGACACTCAGGGTCACACCCCATAGAGCTGAAGGAATGCAGCCCTTCCCACGGAAGTTCACGGAGGGGAAGCAGGTGAATTCTGTGGGAGGTAAGGTGTTTTCTCTTTCAACCTTCTCACCCAAGCCTGAAGAATCAGCATACTGTTTCCCAGATGAAGGACCTTAGACCTCCTTGTGGAAAAGCATGGACTGGGCACCAGCAAGACAGGATGGCAGGAACATGCTGAAGGTGGGTGACATTTAAAAAGGATTGGTTTCCTATCTAATGATTCATCCAATTGAAAAACTGGGATTGGTCTGCTCTCATGCGTCGATGAGAGTATTGCTTTGTGATTAAAGTAACTACAGATGCAAACAGCCACATCAAAATTACTCAGGTAACAGTTTGGGGACAAAAATATGGTACTTCTCAAAAATGTCAACAGAAAAGAGGAAAATATGTCCCTGAATTCAGTAAACTTACTCATGCTATTTTGCTTCTTTTAAGTATGCACAATCAACAAAGCACTTGAGGTGGATTCCAGTACAAGCAGAATAACAATGTAGTGTTGGGTAAAAATAAAGAACCACAAAGTGGGAAAGTTATAGATCAGTATATGAACTATATAAAAGGCAAAGTTCAGCCAGATGTAATAGGTAATGCCTATGGTCTCAGTATGTGTGATGCTGAGGCAAGAGGATTACTATGAGTTCAAGGCTAATATATATATATATATATATATATATATATATACACACACACACACACAGAGCTCCCAGTACCATATAAGCCATTATGGCACACATCTGTATTCTTTGAACTTGGGAGGTAGAGGCAAGAGGATCAGAAGATCAATGTCAACACTGGGTATATGGTTAAGTTCTAGGCTAGCCTGGCTACAGAGTAAGATCCAACCTCAAAAAATAAATAAACAAATGGCTGAATACATAAAAATTAAAGAGACAATATCAAAATCATGCAAATGTTAATAAGAGTGACTATTTACGTTTTATAAATTCATTACTTTACCTTAGGGACAAAACTTCTAAGATCTGTGAACAGAAGAGAATGGTTTGTAGGCGCCATCTACTGAGGTACACTACTCTCCTTTGCATTAGAGGAAGCCTCCGCCTTAGAAGTAGAAAACTAGTCTAGGAGCAATGAATTTCCATGGAAATATCGCTGAGGGTAGGCCGTACAGTGAATTTCAGTGGAAATATCTCTGAGGGTAGGCCATATTTCCAACATTAGCATCTACTTAATTTCATATTAGAGACCATCATGAGGAGGTATGTTCTCAGCATGGCTCTCATTTTCTACACAGATGGCCGCTCCATCCATATCAGAACCCGTTGCCACTCAGTCTAGATCCGTCCCAACAGGAAACTTAGCAGAAGAGTGGAGCCTATCTGAGAACCCCCGCTGTTTGAGGGCACCGTGCACTGTGCCCTCTTAGTGTGCTCTTCCTGCAGAATTCTGTCTGTTTCCAAACCAACCTGTTGTGATTGGCACCAAATTTCCACTCAGTAAAATGGCTGAGGACGTCTAGAAATATATCTTGCCATGCCACTCCTCTAATACCCAGTAGTCTAGGATTATAGATGGCGCTCTTTTGCTATTGTATAGATTAAAATGCATGACTTGTAGAAGCGCCTAACTCACTGACGCCTTCAAGGCAAGATGCTCACAAAATGGGGCTAGCCAGCTGTGGTGAAGCACACTGTAGCCTCAGCACTCAGGAGGCTGAGGTAGGAGGGTCGCATACCTTTGAGGTCAGTTGGCCAGGATTACCTTTGAAGACCCCCCTAAAATAAGAATGTCCATACAGAAGTCACTAAAATGGGGTTAACAGCCTATGGGTTATTTGGGCAGGACAGTGGCTGGGAAGTAGGACATTAGTGGTGGCGGGAATGAGGAAGCAATAGAAGGACAAACAGAGCGATTGGTTGACAAAGAGGTGGATATGACTAAGCTAGACGCTCTGAGGTAGGTCCCTCACTCACCTTTGCTTTGTTGATCTCAGCCACTTCTTAGGGACAAGGCTTTCAGCCCCAGTGGGAGCTCTATCACTCCTTATTAGACCAAAAGCAGCTTATAGGGTTCCAGAAAGTGAGACAAGCAGTGACTTCTGGGAAAATCTTGTGACTACATTGGTTTGGGAACAGGAGGTTAGGAGTCTGAACCACTAAACATACTTGACTTTTTTTTTTTTTTTTTTAAAAACCCAGATCTAAAAAAGGGGGTCAAGCTGTGCCCAGTGTTTAGGTAATTTCAGAAATAAGTTGCATGTTTTTAAACTGATGACTCACTCATAAGCCATTTATTTATTCCTCCTGGTTTCCTCATAAAAGCCAGTGATCATGTGAAGCTGGATTCTTCAATACTTCCTGGTTGGGCCATGGGGCATAACATAGATGGCACAAAGGATGGACCAGAAGGAAGTGGTGAGGGTTTGGTCATGACTGCCCTAGGTCTTGTGGTTGTTTGTCCAGCGCTGGGCTAACCTACAGAGGCAGAGCTGAGGAGCTGTGCCCTCTAATTTGATTAGAATGCTTCATTGCCTCCAAAATAACACACCTGACCTGAACAGGAGCTAATTGTTCACCTGCATTCAAAAAGTAAGCTAGACATGCATTCACGTTTGACACCTCAGAGTTTCCAATTCCACAAATTCCAAAGGAGAATCAAAAGAAAGACCCAAGACAGGGAAAAGCTTCGAGCCCCACTGACTTCATCTGCTGATTGGTATTCTGGGTCTGATTGCTTTTGCTTGGTCTCCCATAAAAGACTGGGGCTAAGCAGGGTGTGGTGATGCACCGGGGTGATTTCAGCTCTTAGAACGTCGTCTATACTACAGTAGTGAATTTGATAACCTGCCTGGAATCCATGAGATCCTGTCACAAAAGTAAATAACTAAATAAAATTACACAGTTTTTTTACATTGTTATATTTAGGTGTTATATTCTCATGTGTAGTTTTTAACTATTTATCTTAATTTTCAGTATATGAGTGTTTGCCTGCATGTATGTAAGTATGCTGTGTGTGCAGTGCTGGAGGAGGCCAGAAGAGAGTGTCAGATCCCTTGGAGCTGGAGATACAGGAGGCTGTGGCCCCTCTGTGGATACTAGGAACTAAACCCAGACTCTTTGCAAGAGTAGCCAGTGCTCTTAAGTGACGGGCATCTCTCCAGGCCCTGCTTTCTCTCTGCAGTTGCGTTTCTTTGGGTATTTTGTCAAAACAATGAGAAAAGTGACTAGCTCAGGACTTCAGTACCTAAGAACATAAAACAAAACAACCCAGGAATTCCGTGAGAAGGCTTTGCTGACTAGTATGGGAAGAATTTTACCACTCACTGCTGAATTCACGGTTAGCTATGTGGGGATAACTGGAGGACTTCAGGACAAGCCTTAAGCCAGTGGTTCTCAATCTGTGGGTCATGACCCCCATAGGGATCACATATCAGATATTCTGTTTATCAGATATTTGCATTGTGATTCATAACAGTACCAAAATTACAGTTACTAAGTAGCAACTAAATAATTGTATGGCTGGAGCTGTATGGCTGGAGCGTCACCACAGCAAGGGGAACTGTATCAAAGGGTCACAGCATTAGGAAGGTTGAGAACCACTGCCATAAGCCTTGGTCAGAGTGAGTTATAGTACACACTTTTCCAGGGGTTGGGTGGGACCCCACAACAGTATCGCTATTGAATGTAAGACCATGGATATTCAGGACTAGTGTGGTGGTATACACTTATGATCCCAGCATTTGGGAGGTAGGGGCAAGAGGATCATGAAAAAAATTATATAACTAGAGGACAAGGTCATAAAACTACGGGAACCTCTGCCATACCAGAGACAAGCACACCAGTCACAGTCATGGGAGTTGATCCGGAAGAGCAATGTAGAGAGAAGTCAAGTGTCATGCACTTCACCACCCATCGTGACTTACTGAGAACTTACTATATGCTGTACACCAAATATTGTTCTGAGCCGCTTCCATGCTGCCAGTTCCCTCTGCTACTCCCATTTTACAGATGAGGAAGTTGAGGTATAGAGTGGTTGAGTAAATGAGAAACCAGGAAGCCATCACAGCCTGACCCTAAAGTCCACTCTGTTAACCCGCACACGGCTGTTTCCCAAAGACAAGGAAGGCAAGCAGAAACATCCGGCCCATGCTGAACAACAAAAGGCAAAGGCAAGGGTAAACACAGGTGCTTCTGAGCCTTCTGTACCAAGCTGGAGAGCCATGCACAGTTGATGGAATCCATTTGTCATCTCATTCAGCAAATCCAGAGTCCTGGGTACATTTGGCAGAGCTAGGCAAGCTGTCCATCTACCGCTCCATTCAGAATTAGTCAGGGTTCGTGTGCTGCAGTTAGTTCTGGGAAGAGAGTTGGGAACTAGAGTAAATGAATCATTTCCTCCCTCATTCTGTGTGTGTGTGTGTGTGTGTGTGTGCCTGCATGTGCGAGAGTACATTTGTGTATATGATATGCATATGATCTCATGTGTGCATGGATGTGAAGGTCAGAGGTCAAATATTGGGTGACTTCATCATTTGCTCTCCACCTTGTTTGTTTATATCAGGTCTCTCCTTGAGCCTAGAGCTCACTGGATGGCCACTGGGCTCTGGGACTCCTTCTGTGTCTGCCTCCTGAACACTGGAGTTACAGAGGGGTATTGGCTTCTGATGCAGATGCTGGGGATCCGAACAGGTCCTCAACGCTGTCCAACAAGCACTTTACCAACTGGACCACCTTCCCCGTCCTCCTGTCTGTCTTTAGATTGGGAATCACACAACCCCCAACAGACAGGCTCTGCAAGCTCAGAATGTCCTCCAGAGGTCACACAATAGCACACTCCGCGTGTCGGCACAGAGTTCCCGTGACCTCACTGTGAGCATAAGGTTTAAACTGCTGTTGTGTCAACTTCATCCTGCTGCAGCTTACGAGAAACCCACTTGAAGCATGAACACTCTAGAGGCACTGGGCCCTTCTCAGGAAGACACATCCTCCACCCGACGCCCCCACCTCCAACACGACACAGCAAAGTCAAATAAACAAGACTTCGAAAATTTGCTGAATTAGAGATTAACACAGGGAATAAAGGAGCCATTCCCTAGAGTCTCCTTGAACAAAACAAGCCTGATGCACCTGTGGGAGCCTTTCTCTGGCATCGTGGCTTTGCTTCTCCCAAGGAGGACAAACATCTGGAGGAGATGTGGTCAAGATTAAAACGTGGGTTTTCACATCTCTCTGGTTTCTTTCTGCAAGCCTCAGTGTGACGGCAGAACTTGCCAATGTCTGAGGTTAAGCTAGGAGAGCCATCTAGTGGCGAGGACTCACACTGCGGCAGAAGACACCACCTGTAAAAAGTCAGAGAACAGCAGTCAGACTGCCTAATGAGGGCGGGGAGGGATGGAGGCAGCCAGCAGTCCACCAGGGAACCCAGAGTCATAGTTGCCCCCGTCTAGTCTTCAGGGAGGGTAGTCTGTCTGCAGCACAGTTTATTTCTTTATTTATTTTCTTTTTATTTCTTTATTTCTCCAACACACATTCATGTTAAACGTTACTAGGTACAAGACACAATACATGAGGCTCTAGACTAATATCACACAAAAACCTTCAATCACCTAATCTTCAAGGAACTTACAGCATGGTGGAAAATTGGTCTAGCAACAGTCAGTTAAAGTCGCCGGTGATGAGGGCTGACCTCCTTACACCGGGAAGTCCATAGAAGAGGCAACTAAATGAATCCTAGAGGGAAAGAGGAAGAAATGTCCAAACCACAGACCACAAGCTGGCACCCCAAGGGCATCATCTGGCCCCCAGATGTGTTTTGTTTGGACCATGAAGTGTTTTTATAACTTAGAATTAGTTGCCTATGCTTACACGTCACTGGATTTCACATGAAAACCCAGATTTCCCATTCTTTTAGAAAACTGAAAGATCCAGTCGTTCTAGTTCCATATTCCCACAGGGCGATGCTCAGCTAAGCTGTGAGACGTGAGCTTCCTGAGGCTGTTTCACAATGGCCAATGATTTCGCTTAGCCCAGTGAATTGTGGGGTGCTTTGTCTAAGTGAGGCACAAAACTCAAAATCACAATTTCACAGCCTGCCATGTCTCAACCCATGAAAGCGTCTTCTTTGTCAGGAGAGTAGGGTACAAACGTTCATTCCTCCGTCACAATGTGCATCAACATTGATTCCCTCTAGATTCAAATTTTAAACACAAAATATAGAGTGTGGATGTTTTAGTTACTTTGCTGCTGTTGTGATAAACAACACCCTGACATGGCCCCCCCTCAAAAATGTCAGAAGGGAATTTATTTGGGCTTGAGCTTCCAGGGGGGATAAAGCCGTCATGGAAGGAAGGCATAGCAGCAAGTGGCAGGCAGGAGGGCAGGAGCAGGAAACTGAGAGGTCACAATACCCAAACACAAACACGGGCAGCGAGAACAAAATGTGGCTGAGGCTTTAAACTCCCAAAGCCTGAACCAGTGACGTAATCCCTCCATCTCCAAACAGCACCACCAGCAGGAACCTGGTGTTAAAACGCCTGACCTGTGGGGGCCAATTCTCATTCAAACCACCACATTCCACTCCCTGCCACCCCCCACCCGTATCCCTATCATAATGCCAAATGAATTTAGCCCATTTTCCAAAGTCTCCAAAGTCTCTCACAGTCTCAACACTGTTTCAGAGCCAAAGTGTCTTCTGAGATGAAGGGCAATCTCAATGACAACCCCTAGTAAAATCAAAAAGTAATTGACATACTTCTAACAGATATAATGACATGGAATATACAGTCTCACTCCCAAAGAGAAAACTGGAGGCGTAGAGAAGAAACACAGGATTCAGAAGAGCAAACTCCAAATTCTGTAGCTCTGTGTTCAGGCTTAGATGGCTGCGCCAGGTTTATTGCCGACAGCACACATTTGTCTCTTAGGTTGGCTCGTTCTACTCTCTGTGTGCAGGTCTCCTTGGAAGATAGCTCATTGCTCTGGCATCACAAACATCTTGGGGTCTCTACTGAAATCCAGGCTTCACTTCCACAAGTTCATACAATGGCCTACCAAGGCCTTCTGCCTTCAAAGGGCTTTCATGCAGGGATCGCCCTGACACACAGAGCCTGGCTTTAACAGCTCTCTGAAACTGGGGAAGAACCCAGGAAGCTTGAATTCTTCCCAGCCTGCGTGCCTTTAAAGCTAGCTCTACCTGAATGAGACTGCCAGGTTCAGCTGCCAGCTGGAGACACACCTTCCCTCCTTGAGGTACATCAGCACAGTGATCTTATCCAGATGCTTTCTAAGAGCAGAAAACACTTAAAGTTCTTCCCCAAGTTGGAAACTTAGCTGGGTGGGGTCTTACCCCTGGGACACCCTTCCCTTTCTCACAGTGGAGAGCTGGTGGCTTTTCCTTAATGGGGCAACCCCTCTAACAACTACAGCCTCTCTAGCAGCGCCCACCTTGGCCACATGATGCTTCCTAGTGCTCCTTTTTTCTTCCCCAAATGGCACATTTTATACTTCTTTCTGCCCACTTGCTTCTTTTTACTGTAGACCCGTGCACACATACTGTTCTGTGGAGTCAACATTATGTAGTCATGACGTCCATTACATTTTAGTTTTTCTGCATGCAGTTTCTCAGGGCATGGGCAGAAGGCCGCCAATACTTAGCCAAAAAAGAGCATGAAAAGCCTTTAGACCAGCTGCTAATATTGTTCCTTTCTGAGACCACTTGAGCTGGGCCTTGACTTCCTAACCAGGATGGACTGTACCCTTGCCCTGTGGACCTGAATAATCCTTCTCTCTTCAGTTGCTTTTGTCAGAGTGTTTTCTCACAACAATGAAAATGAAACTAAGAGAGCAGGCCAAGGAATAAACAAATTTAGACAGAGAGACACAATGGAATGTTACCCGGGAAGCCATTGATTCCTTAGCAAGACGCTTGGGCCTATGGGGAATCATGTCATGTGGAAAAACAATGCTGTGTAAATGCACAGGGTTATAGCCCCCTGATTCCAGCCTGGATTCCCCTAAAATCTCCAACACTCACCACTTACTTTGGTCCCTATTGACTAAAGATGCCAACTAAGCTTGTAGTTCCTCAGTTTTATCCCACATTACCTAACAAATTGTATCAGTTACCTTTCTGTTGCTGTAATCAAACACCATGACCAAAATCAACTTAGAGAAGAAGGTTTATTTGACTTCTGCTTTCACAGGGATAAGAGTCTGTCATGGTGGGAGGTGTGGCAGCAAGAGACAGACATAGTGGGGGAACAGGAAGCTGAGAGATCAAATCTTCAAAGGCAAGCTTGAAGCAGAGACAGCCATCCAAGCAGGGCCAGACTATACATTGCCAAAGCCCAACCCCAGTGGTCTACTTCTCCCAGCAAGGATACCACTCAGACCTGCCCAAACAGCACCACCAATGGGGAAGCAAGAGTTCAAGTACTCAAGCTGGGGTGGCTTGAATGGAAACGGCCTCCATAGGTCCATAGGGAGTGGACTTTAGGAGTGTGTCCTTGTTGGAGTATAAATAGACATGCATTGCCTTCAGCTTACCGTAGTGTCCCATGTAAGTTAATCTAATTTCTCTTTAAGCACATTTTTTAATTTGACTTCACATTAAGTTTCACCCTTCAGAGCAGACTCTGGTGTAGACTCTGCTCAATCTCCATGCTTTGTTTACATATTTTTAAAACTCTCATTGTTGAGGCTTGGTCACACATACTCTCACACCTGTACTGGTGAACTAAAGATCTAGCTGAAGTTTGTCATGGATCAAGATCTTTAACAAACCTTTAAACTAAAAACCCGAAAAAGTTGGAAATATTTTGTGGAGTCGATGATGGGGATGCTCTTCTGTATATACGTTTCTCTTATTGATGAATAAAACACTGTTTGGCCAATAGCCAGTAGAGGCAGGAAGATAGGCTGGGCTACGAAACGAGGAGAATTCTGGGAATGGTAGGCAGAGAGGTGCAGCTAGAATGCCATGTAGAGCCCGGGAAGACAGGTCACTCCAGGCATTCTCTAGCAGGATCAAGCTATGTAGAATTACATAGATTAGTAGCTACGGGTTAATAATTAAGACAGAACTAACCAATAAGAAACCCTAGCCATCAGCCAACAGTTTATAATTCATATAAGTCTCTGGTGTGTTTATTTGGGCCTGAGAAGGGCAGCGGGACCTGGCAGGACAAGAAATCACAAGCAATAAACACCACAAGGCATAATTTTATCTTTAAGGAATCAACATTCTCTTTCTTGTTGCCCTTGCACACCTGCTCACCATTAGGCTCCAGGCCAGGGAAGAGGGTGCTTGTAACTAACTGTGGGAAAAGAGGACTACATTGGCCCATCAAATGCTTAGGCATGCTAGCTTGGCCAGATAAAAGCTTGTCTAATTTTGCAAGCACATTTATTTATATTTATTTATTATAAAGAGTCAGCTTGAGCACTTAAGAAGTTAAGAAGTTTCATGGCCTACAGTCCGCACACTGGAGACCCAAGATAACTAGTTATATGTCATTCCAGTCCAAGTCACAAGGTCTGAGAGCTCAAGGTAGCTAATAAAGTCATTGTGACTCCAAGAGTTGCCAAGGAAAGCCAATGCTTTAGACTGAAACAAAATAGTGTCTCTGTTCGAGCATCAGATGGCTGAGATTTTCTTTGAGACAAGGCTGGACTTTCTAGCCTATCAAGGCCAACTGATTAGATGAGCCAGATGTAGACCTGCTTACAGCAAGATCAAAGTATAGTTTACTCAGTCTCCCAATTCAAATGCCAGTCTCATCATTGAAATGTCATTCAAAAGCTCTTCCCAGAGATATCATGAATAATGGTCAGATGAAGATCTAGATGCTCATGACACAGTTACATCATACATAGAATTAACCATTACACCAAGCTAAGTATCCACCAATCAGCCAGCTCAAGGGTATGCAGTCTGAGGTTCTAGATTTGTCATTCAGCTCTTATGAAATTACATGTCAATAAATGGTAATATTGTACTGGTTTGTGGAAACTCACTAATTTAGCCATCCAGAAACAGAAGAAAATCAAATAAGAATTAGGCACCTCACAGAGATCACCAATGGGCCATGAGTCTACTGCTCTTTGTCAATGGTCTTTAATCACTTCAGCTCTTCATAACCCTTATGTCTCCCATGACCTTGTCAGGTGCCAGGTGATTTACTCAAGACATGAAGATCCAAATCTAAGTCCTTTTGTCTTCAACAATTATGACTAGCTAAAGCAGTCACCATCATCAGATCCTTCAGGCTCAATCAACACACATCATCACTTGTTTACTGTGAGTCCTGAGGTCTCCACAGCCTCCTTTTAGTTTAACCACTTAAAATAGTGAGTTGTCTAAGCTAGGGTTTCAATTGCAGTGAAGAGACAAATGGCCATGGCAAATCTTATAAAGAAAAACATTTAATTGGGGTACATTTTTCAGAGGGTTAGTCAATTATGACCATGGTGCCAACTGGTAGCATGCAGACAGACATGGTGCTGGAGAAGGAACTGGGCATTGTTACATCTTAACCCACAGGCAACAGGAAGTGGTCTGAGAACACTTGGCTTGAGCATATATGAGACCTCAAAGCGTGCCTCCACAGTGACACACTTCCTCCAACAAGACCACACCTACTCCAACAAGGCCACACCTACTAATAGTGCCACTCCCTTCAGGGGCCATTTTTTTTTTTCAAACCACCACAGGAGTACTCTGAGAGTTACTAATGTCTTCTTGTCCTTGAGACACTGCAATGATTAAGCGTAATTGGGTGTGGTGGCATAAGCCTATAATCCCAGAAGTTGAGTGACAGAGGCAAGAGGATTGAAATTGGAAGCTAGCCGAGGCTACTTAGAGAGTTCTGGTCCAGGCCAATCTACATAGAAAAAGCCAGTCTCTTAAAGAAAGGATAAAGGCTGGAGAGAGGACTCAGTGAGTAAGAGTACTTACTGTGCAATTATGGAGACCTGAGTTCAAATCCATGTAAAAGCAAGGCATAGTTTCATATGCTGTAGCTTCAGGTTTGGAGAGCAGAAGCAAGTAGATCCTAGGAGCTCACTGGTCAGCTAACCTAGGCAAAATGGTGAGCTTCAATTTCAGTGAGAAATCCTGTCTCAAGGGAATGTTTCAGTGTGAAAGAGCAGGACGTTCAATGTCCTTCTCTGTGCACAAATGGTGTGTGTGTGTGTGCGTGTGTATGTGTGTGTGTGTGTGTGTGTGTGTGTGTGTGTGTGTGTGTGTATTATAAATAAATGGAAGTAAGGGAGGAATGGAATGAAAAAAGAAACTATCAAAAAAACACAAATTCAAGGGAATTAATCATCTATGTTTATATAAACATCTTATTTTTGTATAAACATTTTACTTTTATGTATTTTAAATGGTCTTTGAGAAAGAATATAATCATTTAAAAAACAGAATTCTATTCTAAATAAAAAAAAGGAAAACTGCCTTTTGTAGAAAATGTGACATTTCTGGAGGTCCCCTTTCTCTGTGGTATGAAGGGGTTCAATTCTCTCCATGTGTAAAAATGCCTGCTCATGCCCCCACCCAACCCCACCCCACCCCACCCCACGCCAGAGTCTGACTCATGGAACCTTCTGAGCAGCTTTCAGCTGCTCTCCCACAACAAACGCCTCCCATCCGTCTTTGCTAACCACTCCTTCTGCGGAGACACAAATAGCCTTTGAAATAACTAAGGCCAATCTACTAATTTATTTCACCTCCCAACTTAACATTCAGGGAACATTCACCAATGCCAGGAACTTTGCATGTATAGCCTTCATTAAATCTCACAAGAAAACACCTGTGGTGGGTTCTATTTTCACTTCCACTTTATAAATGATGAGAATAAAGCTTGGGAATGTTGGCCAACTCATTCACCCATGGTGAATGGAAAATCTGTCCGCTTGGGCTCCTGAACTCATTTATCCTCAAATCACGGTGTGATGTGTATGTTTAAATTTAGAAACTGCAAGTCATGGGTGTGCATAAAGCAAAATTTACAGTAACTCTTAGGACATTTCAAAAGATGGCAGTTCACCATCCACACAACACCATAAAAATAGTATCTCTGGGTCTACTGACCAAAGAAATACCCCTACATAGTTTTTGTTGGGGGTTGGGGTCTCAAGAAATAAACTTTTTTATTTCAGCTTCTTCATATGAGTTCAGGATGCTGGATGGCTCTGAAGTTAAGAGTACTTGTTGCATTCCTCTAAAATCAGGAACAAGACAAGGCTGTCCACTCTCTCCATACCTCTTCAATATTGTCCTTGAAGTTCTAGCTAGAGCAATAAGACAACAAAAGGAGATCAAGGGATACAAATCGGAAAGGAAGAAGTCAAACTCTCACTATTTGCAAATGATATGATAGTCTACATAAGTAACCCGAAAAACTCTCCCAGGGAACTCCAACAGCTGATAAACACCTTCAGCAAAGTGGCAGGATACAAGATTAACTCAAAAAAAATCTGTAGCCCTACTTTATAAGGATGACACACTGGTGGAGAAAGAAATCAGAGACGCATTACCCTTTACAATTGCCACAAACAATATAAAATACCTTGGAGTAACACTAACCAAAAAAGTGAAAGACCTGTACCGTAAGAATTTCTCTAAAGAAAGAAATTAAAGAAGATACCAGAAAATGGAAAGATCTCCCATGCTCATGGATAGGCAGGGTCAACATAGTAAAAATGGCAATCTTGCCAAAAGCAATCTACAGATTCAATGCAATCCCCATCAAAATCCCAACACAATTCTTCACTGACCTTGAAAGAACAATTCTCAACTTTATATGGAGAAACAAAAGACCCAGGACAGCCAAAACAACCCTGTACAATAGAGGAACTTCTGGAGGCATCACCATCCCTGACTTCAAGCTCTGTTACAGAGCTATAGTCCTGAAAACAGCTTGGTATTGGCACAAAAATAGACAGGTAGACCAATGAAATAGAGTTGAAAACCCTGATATTAACCCACGCACCTACAAACACCTGATTTTCGACAAACAATCCAAATATATATGCTGGAACAAAGAGAACATCTTCAACAAATAGTGCTGGCAAAACTGGATGCAAACATCTATCTGTAGAAGACTACAGATAGACCCAAGCCTTTCACCCTGCACAAAACATAAGTCCAAATGGATCAAAGACCTCAACATAAACCAAGCCAT